CCCCCCCCCCCCATCCCTAAACATCTATATGATGTTTCTCGTGGACAAAATTGATACATAAGGTTTCTATTACATATATACAGTATTTTACAAACTTGATTGTTTAAAAGTACTTGCACTTGACTAAATGCAATTCTCATTAAATTCAATATTAATAATGTTTTTAAAAACAACGGTAATTATTAATATGATTATGTACATAAAAATTAAATTATTTGTTTTATATTTTATTATGTACATACATCACATTATTCAAACACAATTGTTTAAAGATGCTGTAGAGTCTGCAATGTAAACAAACATTTTGTTTACATTTTGAACTCAGTGCCACAGTGCTAAAAATAGATATATATTATACCGAATTTTAACACTCAGCTAGTTTGCTATGCTTGTAAATGAATACAGACTAGATATTCAATTCAACAAACTTTGGAAGGTGCAAAATTCATTGGATCTTGACCATTGGAATTTAGGCCTAGTGTACACAGAACCTATGTGCATAACAGACTTTACAGCATCTTTACAGATGAGACACTTTGAAGTATTTCTTGTTTTTGCCTTTTTTCTTCCCTTGGATTATATCCCTATTTCCAAACTTTAGTATATAATGCAACCGCATTCTCACAAATAGTTCCACCAAGAACTGGCTGGGGAATTGCTTGCATTATTTTACCTGGAATTGTGGAATCATTGATACAAGTTGTTTAGCGATGCCAGGTTTGGAAATAATTGTTGGAAATGCTTCAATAAATATTTGTTCTGCCTTCGAAATGTATTGTACAAGGCCATCATCAGGCACAGTAAGTCCTCCAAATGGTTGTTTGCTTGTTTCATAGGCCTTGAAGTAACATAGCAGTTTGTCGGTACTATCAAGTTCATTTTTGATCAAAGCACTGGAACATGTTTGGCAACTATGTTTTTCCAGACATCTCTTCAATAGGTACCCACAAACATAAGTTGTTGCATTGTTTGAAGTTAAGTTCTCTTCTATTGTGGAAGACTTATAGTCCACGTCTTGGATGTCATGGAATAGCATCGGCTGTGCACTGCTGTTTTCTTTTTCTTCCTTAGATGCAATGTTGCTGTCGATCTTAGCAGTTTTGCTGTTCTTGACTGCTTTGTTATGGACCAGGATGGTATCAAGATCTGGAGCACAGTTACCAGTACCCATTGGAAGAAGATAATTGTTAAAAAACAATTTTCTAAATGCCCGGGTGAATTGTAGCGGTGTAGGATTATCACAGTTGCCTCCTTGTTGTCGGATGGATCCAAAAAAGTTCTCTAACGGGTCTTGGTTCAAACGTTTAGTGCATAGAAATTTGACATTACCTTGAACTGTCTTCCACAATTCCATGGTTGAGCGAAGTGTTATTTGTAGTGCATTGAGACATTTCAATGATGATGTGACATCTTTGTTTCTAGCTGCATTGATTACTTTAATTTTCTTGACAAACTCAAGCTTATCCTTCATCGTTTGCATGTGCTTGGATGAGGCTGTCATAGGTCGGTTACACTCTTTGGGGGTGCTGAATGTGGAGCTGTTTAAGCAATCAAAAATATCATCGAAATGGGACACTAATTCGGCTGTACCAGAAGCTGATGCGGGGAGAAGACCACCACTGATTGCCATCATCAACGCAGCTTCAACTGAGTGGCTCAAGACTTGAGTGGCCAGTTTCACTTTCATTTTCAAGAAACCGTTTGGATGCATGTGTTTGTTGGTCAATTTTGGACAGCATCTGATGGAATTTTTACTGTCTATCGTGTAGAGAGGTAAAAATGTCAAAATGGAAGTTATAATTGATAAGGTTGTTCCGGATTGCTTTGATGATGTGGGGTGCATCAAAGATGTATAATATCTTTTTGCCATTGTGAATAAACCAAGGATTTTCTGGTGTAATACCCATCTCGCGAACAAACTTTTGAAAGTTTGATCCGATATCAGAAACAACTCCAAAAACATTTAGACCAATGTTCTCTAATTTGGTGATGGCATCTGTCAGCTTCTCCTTGACTATATCACTGCTACATGACTCATTGACTAGGTAGTAAGGAAGGGGCTGTTTCCAGTTTTCAATAATGCCACGGGCCATGAGGACGATTGCAGATGTTGCCAATTTATCAGAGGTGGTTTCGTCACCAAGATCCTCAAGACCAATGACTTTATCTTTGCTGCAATCATAGAACAGGTGCGACTTCAAAGAAATTAATTTCATCCATTGATACTATGCACATCTTTCCAGTTGAGCTGAGTGTTTGAACCTTGGTGGTGATAACATCAAGTGAAGGCTGTGTGAGTCCAGCACTGTTGGGCATTTTGGAAATCCATTTCAAGATGCTCGACTTTGATGGTAAGCAGAATAACTTTGACACCATTTTGTAGGATTTTCCACTCAGGTGGTACAAAGACAAAGCAAATGACTTTGTTTCATTGCTGTATCTTCGACCATTTTTTACCTTAAAAAAACATTAGGAGCAAACAATTTATAAAAGTAAAAGAAATAAATTTGGATTAATTAAGCAGGGACATCTTGAGAATACAACATGTTACTCAAAACAAGATGAAGGTTGAAACTGTAAATTTTTAACTTCATTTCAAAACCATCATCAAACAGAATAGATTGCAATACTTAAAATTTCTGTACAACACATTTAATATATACTATATTTTTCATAATATAGGTTAACCCATTAAGTGGCAGCACTCTCTCCTTGATGAGTAAAATTGTCTGATGTTACACAGAGTAAAATAATAAGTGTGGCACATCAAGGAGCTGTGTTACTCAATGGGGTAATAATATGTTCACATGTATAGAAGGTACTGAAGGTACTGACACCAAAGTTTTATATATTATTTTTTGCTTTATTTTTTACCGTGGAGTGAAGATCAATTTGCGACTCAATAAATCTCACAATTTTTGCTGGCAATACGGTTTCCAAGACTGAAATTGCTTGTTCAGTTGCCATTCTCTTTTGTTGCTTTTTTTTTGTTGATGGATCTCAATCGCTTCAATCTTTGTTTCTGGGTGTTTATTATCTTCCTTAGTTTCCTTTTTCTTGGGGTGTTTGATGATAACAGATTACTTGTCTGGGTGCAGCTGGAACGACTTTCATGTTGCTCTGGAATGATTGTTAAAGAAGAAATTAGCAATTTCATATAAAGATTTAACTAAAGGTAATATTATAATAAAATAATATTGTACTAAGGTACCATACATATATACTACTTGAATACCTTCAACTGGAATGAAATGTGTAGGTGTTTCAACAGCCCCATCACCGGCACTTGATTCTTCACTCAAACACCCTGCATTAGAGAAACCAACAGTTACTATAGGAATGACTGGTATGTGGTATAAATAATTGTCTGATTACTTGTTTATTTGGGTATTACTTGAATACCTTCAACTGGAATGAAACGTGGAGATGTTTCAACAGCCCCATCACTAGCACTTGATTCTTCTCTCAAACACCCTACATCAGAGAAACCAACAGTTATTATAGGAATGACTGGTATGTATTATTTTTTATGTAGGTATTACTTGAATACCTTCAACTGGAATGAAACGTGTAGGTGTTTCAACAGCCCCATCACCAGCACTTGATTCTTCACTCAAACACCCTGCATTAGAGAAATCAACAGTTACTATAGGAATGACTGGTATGTGGTATAAATAATAGTCTGATTATTTTTTTTATTTAGGTATTACTTGAATACCTTCAACTGGAATGAAACGTGGAGGTGTTTCAACAGCCCCATCACCAGCACTTGATTCTTCACTCAAACACCCTGCATTAGAGAAATCAACAGTTACTATAGGAATGACTGGTATGTATTATTTTTTTATTTAGGTATTACTTGAATACCTTCATCCAAAATAAAAAATGTAGGTGTTTCAACAGCCCCATCACTAGCACTTGATTCTTCACTCAAATACCCTGTATTAGAGAAATCAACAGTTACTATAGGAATGACTGGTATGTATTATTTTTTTATTTAGGTATTACTTGAATACCTTCAACTGGAATGAAACGTGTAGGTGTTTCAACAGCCCCATCACTAGCACTTGATTCTTCACTCAAACACCCTGCATTAGAGAAATCAACAGTTACTATAGGAATGACTGGTATGTGGTATAAATAATAGTCTGATTATTTTTTTTATTTAGGTATTACTTGAATACCTTCAACTGGAATGAAACGTGGAGGTGTTTCAACAGCCCCATCACCAGCACTTGATTCTTCACTCAAACACCCTGCATTAGAGAAATCAACAGTTACTATAGGAATGACTGGTATGTATTATTTTTTTATTTAGGTATTACTTGAATACCTTCATCCAAAATAAAAAATGTAGGTGTTTCAACAGCCCCATCACTAGCACTTGATTCTTCACTCAAATACCCTGTATTAGAGAAATCAACAGTTACTATAGGAATGACTGGTATGTATTATTTTTTTATTTAGGTATTACTTGAATACCTTCCACTGGAATGAAACGTGTAGGTGTTTCAACAGCCCCATCACTAGCACTTGATTCTTCACTCAAATACCCTGCATTAGAGAAATCAACAGTTACTATAGGAATGACTGGTATGTGGTATAAATAATAGTCTGATTATTTTTTTTACTTAGGTATTACTTGAATACCTTCATCCAAAATAAAAAGTGTAGGTGTTTCAACAGCCCCATCACTAGCACTTGATTCTTCACTCAAACACCCTGCATTAGAGAAATCAACAGTTACTATAGGAATGACTGGTTTGTGGTATAAATAATAGTCTGATTATTTTTTTTATTTAGGTATTACTTGAATACCTTCATCCAAAATAAAAAGTGTAGGTGTTTCAACAACCCCATCACCAGCACTTGATTCTTCACTCAAACACCCTGTATTAGAGAAATCAACAGTTACTATAGGAATGACTGGTATGTGGTATAAATAATAGTCTGATTATTTTTTTTATTTAGGTATTACTTGAATACCTTCATCCAAAATAAAAAGTGTAGGTGTTTCAACAGCCCCATCACCAGCACTTGATTCTTCACTCAAACACCCTGTATTAGAGAAATCAACAGTTACTATAGGAATGACTGGTATGTGGTATAAATAATAGTCTGATTATTTTTTTTTATTTAAGTATTACTTGAATACCTTCATCCAAAATAAAAAGTGTAGGTGTTTCAACAGCCCCATCACCAGCACTTGATTCTTCACTCAAACACCCTGTATTAGAGAAATCAACAGTTACCATAGGAATGACTGGTATGTGGTATAAATAATAGTCTGATTATTTTTTTTATTTAGGTATTACTTGAATACCTTCATCCAAAATAAAAAGTGTAGGTGTTTCAACAGCCCCATCACCAGCACTTGATTCTTCACTCAAACACCCTGTATTAGAGAAATCAACAGTTACTATAGGAATGACTGGTATGTATTATTTTCAAGGGTTTACCAGGCAGGGGGCAGAGAGGGTGGCGCCCCCCTCCCCCCCCCCCAGATTGTTGGGCAAACAAAGCCAGTCTGGCAATATTCACTTCACAGTCAGGCAACATTGGCTTATTATAAAAATAAATGGGACAAATTCTGTCAATTTTGTGGGAAATATGCTATTTAATAGGAATTTTTCGTAATCACTCCTAACCCCCCCC